GAGACGAGCAAGAAGAAGCTGGGAGCGGACCATCCCGACACGCTGACCAGCATGGCCAATCTAGCCTCGACTTACCGGAATCAAGGGCCGACACGCTGAGCAGCATGGCCAGTCTAGCCTTTACGTGGAAAGCACAAGGTCGGAGTGCAGAGGCTGTTGTCTTAATGAGGCAGTGTGTGCAGCAGCGTCAGCAAGTGCTAAAAGCCAGTCACCCCGATCTCAAGTCATCTTTAGCAGCCTTAGAAGAATGGGAGGCTGAGTAAGTAGACTTATTTCTAGTGTACGCTTAAGAGATGCTCCTCAGAAAAGACAAAATGTACAACTTAGTATGTGACTTGCAAGACAGTATTATTTTGTCTTGTATGTTAAGCGTATAGGATTGCATTAGGCTTGTTTTTTTTTATAGTAGTGCCTCGAGCTTGCGAGCTAGCTCACGTCTTGTCGATCTTGGTACTCTACGATTGGTTAAGACTAGCAAGGGTCACCCTGAGCTGACAGGGTGCTACAGAAAGGTCGCTTGGGCAAAGGGTGAGGGCGGTTTTGCAAGGTACTGTAGCGCAACTTTCGCCTCTAGTTTGGCACTCGTCGAGCTTTAGGAAATGATAGCCGATGTGGATATTGTCAATTCCTAAAGGCTGGGGGTAGTCCGTATAAGCCCGGGCCCGGCTGGATGGGCGGCACTTGGTGACGGATGAGTGGAGCCATCCCGCCACAACGTTCGACTAATAAAAAGACTGGCAAATAGTGACCTGGTTGCAAGTTCCACCGCTGAATTACAATGTACTGTAGCACCAATAACCCTTAACTTCCGGAGAAAGATTCAAAGTCTATTCGAGGCTGGTCTCACGTTAAATCACGTTCAATTACCACAATGTGAGCTACTCCGTTGGGGTCTTGCCAGGAGCTTATGATGATTAGGTGTCATCGCACTATCTCGCATGTTACTACTGTAACCAACAATCAAATTAGGAGAATTGTGAATGTGGCCATAGTGGACTGTCGAAAACGGGGATGCCTGGCATCATCTACTAATCCAAGGAATAATGGAACCACGAATGAGCGTGTATTAAATGAGTTGCTACGGCAAGGTCAAATGCTAGGTATCGACGCAGATAATGGGTACGTGTGCCAGTGCCTCTAATGATCTGTCATCTTTGCTGTTCACTAGGACTGTCCCATGGCTGAAAATTTGATGTGCGATTTAGAGCAAGATGAACAGCGAGCAACCGCGTTTTGGTCGGCGAATCTATACCTCACAAATCGTTTGGCGCGAGAATGTCGTCTCAGTTATGTAAGCAGCAATTCGAGTCCACGATGGAACCGCGTAAAAGCACACAGCGAAACGCCAGATCATGTCTTTTGGAGATTCAAGCAGCTTATCGGCTTAAAAAAACTGATAGTGACCACCTGCATTTGCCAGTAACGAATTACCACATCACGGTGGATGATTGATGCGTATGTCTTGGAATTATTAGGAAACTACTCTAACTATATGCTAACTTCCATTAAGAGGCCCTCTTGGAGGGCTTGCAGCTCTAGCACAGCAGATTTTAATCCTTGGGATTGAGCGTCAAAGACTCCTTTCAAACGTATAGCATCAGACAAATTCTGTTCTGATTCCTCTTTAAGTCTCTGGTTTATTTCTTTTAGACATTCCAGCTCCTTTTCTGCGTGCTGTCGACGTTCTAACTCGGCCGATAGCTGTGTGCTCATTTCCTCAATTGCGTGGGTTAAAAGGGCATTCTCTCCTTGTAAGCTATCGATCAGAGTACTAAAACTGATCTCTGTTCTGCCGACAGTTGACGCTACAGTGCCATCCAACATACCCAAATGGTCGGCAAAATTTCCTTGTTTTGTTGGAATGGCCTCAAACGTCTTCCCGAGACCATCGCACAGCTCCTTATACGCACCGATAGAATGATCGCTTATGTTTTTCGAGAACAAGTGCTTTTTCTCAGGAAGAAATCTCCAAGCGTACGGATTATCTGAGCTAGGAAGGAGACGAACCTGAGCTGGCTCTACGATGATACCAAGTCTATTTTCTAGAACTTATTAGCTTCCCTCAAGACAGTTGCTGATTTGCATTACGTATATGTCTTGAAAGTTCTTCACGGCACTTCGTCCGCCACTCTCGTCGTTCCAGATTGCTTACGCGTGGAGCCATAGGATTGATGGGACACGAGGACTCCTGTAGGTTTACGCGATTTCCTGCTTAAAATTCGCGCCGTGTCCCTGTAGTTGATAAGGGTGCCGAAATGGCCCAAGCGCTCGGCAGTGACTAGCTGTAAGATGCCTATTTACGGAACGGGGACTAGTTTTGGTCACTACCTCTAAGCTAGTTTCTAGTACGCTAGGAGTCTGGTGACGTTAATGGTATGTTGCAGTACGTACCTCCATTGGAGATAGCGGCGTGTATGTCACGGAGAGGAAAGTCATACGATGTTAGGTCTGTGGTACTGCTGCTGCTGAAACACGAAGTGCAGACATGAAGCTCGCTGTTTAAATTAAGGGGCTCGGCCGACGTATCCTCCGTGCCTTCACAGCAAGTTACGCTTACCAAGTGGATGTGATAAAGAAGTTCAATCTGATTAATACATGACCCTAAATAACGCAAATGCAGGACTGAAGCGGACTACTAGTGACTCCTGGGCGACGGGTCCGACTACTTGAAACCCTGATGTCGTTAAATATTCCACAACACCCAAGTCGCACTTCCCTCGGCCTGCTCTTCGCAAATTTACAACCATATGTGGTATATAGGCCAAAGAAGAGTGGCAACCACTTAATCGGGGTATTTCAGATACAGGCAATTCAACCCTTTCGAATATTCTATCATGGAAGCTGGGAACATACACCCTTAGTTCTACAGTCCGATCAGGTATATTAGGTACCTTATACCAGAATCCTTTAGAATCACTTGAAGATAGATCAGTAGGCGCTCCAAATGCCATTAGGAAGGTTCTCTGTAATGACCAGCCGTATACAAATAGTCTCTCTTCTATTCTCCGTAGATCGTTTTCGTCCTGAAGAATTCGGCTCTGACTAGCTTCTCCATTAATGCTGAATCTAATCATTCTGTCAAGAGATGTGGTAGTTTTTTCCTGCAACGGGAAGATCCCCAAAAGATACACCTTAAGCTTTCGATGACCGTAAGACTTCAGATAACCCTCCGTATCATACAGTCTGCCTTTCAGAGCCAGTCTGTCTTTCCCAAGGAGCAGAAGCTTCATCCCCTCCTGTAATAGCACCTCTGTTTCCGCGATATCCCATAGTAAGTCTCTTATTGGATTTAGATATGTCCTTTTTTCGGTATCGCTCAGAATGTGATGGAACGCTATGTCGAGCTTAGCAACATCATATGCCGAAAGATGTCGCAACAAGGCCTCTCTGGTCTCATAAGGAACGAATAAATCCAAGATATTTCTGTTTCTCTCTTCTAGTGGGATCCCGTCCCCATGGCGATGTGTCAAGACTCGCAAAAACGAGCTCATGACGTCTAGATTTATGAAAACTCGGCGCCAGGTAGACTCTTTAAGTATCTTTGCGGCGGCTAGATCCGCCTGTGGGCATCGTTAGGCACAGTACTGTATCCTAGAACCTTGCCAATTACAACTTTAGCCCTAACGTTCATCTGCCGTCTTCCGCGAATGGCTTGTCGGCCCACTCGTCTCGCCCCCTACCTTTCCCAGCCTGAAGCCAAGCACCGTTAATCGTTCCGGCCTGCGGATATAGCCAGTCGTCTTATATGATGCAAGGACACATAGAGTACAGCCCCGAACTAAGCTCAGCGACCATGATGAAGGCCTATAGAGGATGATGTCTTTTTCCACCACCTAGCCTCGACACAAATTAAGAAATCCAAAGGACCCAACAATAAGTCTTGCCAGGTCCTTGTAGATCGAAGTAGTATCCGTTTTGATTAGGAACAAACTCAACGGTCTAATGCTATTTCCATGCCTCCGCTCAACATCAACGGTACGCCGATCCCATTCTCATCTGATATGCCTGCCTATTTTCTCAATCCTAGTAGAATATTGCACCAACATCTGGCATCTACCCCTTGTCCTTAGCGAAGTTTTCCATATCATCCGGCTAACCATTCATCGGCTTGTTGTCCTCTGGATGGTCGTCAGCGTCCCTATCCTCTTCCCAGCACTGCATCCAATGATCCAGCCTTCGTGGAGGTCCAGGTCGGGTTGGATCAGCTTTATGGAAGGCATGGAGTTTGTGTGGGCAATTCTTGAAGTTGGCTGCGTTATACCACGTCGGATCATCGTCGTAGCCGAGCCATTTCACTCGGTATTTGAGCTTTCCCCTGAAGATACGAACTTTCAGAACTTCCTCAACTTCATATTCGTCTTCTTCATCCCTTTGGGTGGGAAGAGCTAGGTCGGACTGGGAGCGCGCCGCTAGAGCGCACCCATGTTGAAGCCCAGGCGACGAAGACTCGTCGCGATAGTTTGTGCTCTGGGAATTATCATTTTGCTCATTTACCTTGGCTTCTCTGGATTCCAAAGAGATTATGTCATCTGTTATCTGTCAGAATTTGTGGTTGTTCGCTCCACAGGTAGTCAGTCTCACCGGTGTGCTCCCATGCCACATCATCGGTTCCCTCACCAAGATCATCTTTGTCGCCGAGACCATTCTCTGCGCCACACCACGAGGACAGTGGCGTATCGTCGTCGCTTTCGTTTTGATCTGACACGGTTTCTGGAATTGACGAGGAGCTTGAGCTTGAGCTGGCAGAAGCCGGGCCTTTGAGCAGGATGGGACTGCTACCAACTTCCTCCCTTATCTCTGTCTAGTTATAAAGACGTTGTTCGCAATACCAAATAGAGAATTGTGATGTTGTTATTTATAGCGTAATTAATCTAGAGTCTAACAGTTACTAACAGGATTTGGCTTCCAAGTTTAACGGTGATATTACTTTAGGTCTTCTTTTTGGCTTCATCAACGCTTATTAGATAAGACCTAACATGTCCCGTGACTTTCCAGATCCATGAAAGTGCTACTTCTCTGCCCCGCTTATTGAGACTCTCTGAGGTAACGTGCTCCTTCGACATTAGGTCTGATATTGGTGTCGAGGTCGTACTAATATTGAATCTAAGTCCCAATGCCTTTTTATATGTGGAGCTTAAAATATAACGTTATATGCCCTTTGCCTATCTGTATGCCTCGATTAATTTCCTAAGGAACAAAAAAGAAGGCAAGCGTAGGATATAGTACACCGGGATCTGAGCTGTTAACGCATATAGCACTTAGGAACCCACGCACCTAAATAAGGTCACTAATATTATGTGTCTTGTCATCTTCGTCAGCAAACAACAGCGCGATGGATCAGCAACGATCACCCAGCAAAGCGGATGTAGAGCCTTAGGTCGAAGCATTAGGTACTATATAAGTCAAATTATATTCGACCATGGAGAAGAGGATCAACACAATCAGTCAACGTTATCTCCACCCCCAGCCTACAGTATACTCCAGCAGAGAGGCTAGCGTGGTGTCCAAATCAACAACTGCTATGTGGTTCTAATCAGTCGAGTCCAACAGGCTCTGGCACAGCAACATCTTTCCAGATCGCCCCACATCCAAGTACATCAATGGGCCGTTGCTTGTAGTAATCTATCCCTCTAGTTAAGCATCAATGAAATCGGTTCTTGCGCTGCGAGTACGGATCTAAACACGCTTGATATGGAACTATCGAAAGTTCGGATCATGCGGAGTAACATTATATTGACTTGTGAGCACGAAAATATACATGACCCGTTCTGGACTTATGCAGGGGCCGTTCCCATTTTGGACCGTAGGAACCGGAAGACAAGAGGGTATATCTACTCTAAGCAGTACCTTGACTGATCCACCTGCGAGAATAGCCTATCATATCATGAAAGTTACATCCTAACGTCCCCCCCTACGTGAAGGAAAACCCCCTGTGCCGACATGTGAAAACCACAAGACAGATTTATCATCCACCCCAGGGACTTTTCAATCCATAATTAAGATGTGAGCATTGTTAACACCTCATTCTTCACATCGTTAGCTTACAACCTAAAATTACAACACCTTGATCATGCTGTTGACCATTACTTGCATCCATCTAAGACTATCTTGATTTTTTACCCCTGCTATGCCGGGATAGAACTGATAATTCCAAGGCATACTGTACGCATCAGTCGCCCTTCGCTTTGACACCGTGATGTGGTAAGTTAATTCGTTACATTGCACTGGCAAATGCTGGTGGTCACCATCATGTTTTTAATCGGTAATGTGTTCATTGAATGACGCATCAAGATTTCTCCGACCGACGTGATTTGGTGTTTCGCTGTTTACGTGCGGTTGCGCTCTGTGCACTTCAGACGCTGACAGATCATTAGTACTTAATTCATTCGACCTTGGCGGAGCAACTCATCTAATACATGCTCATTCGTGGTTCCATTAGGGACAGTCCACTATAGTCGCATTCACGATTCTCCTGATTCTATTGTTGATTACAGTAGTAACATGCGAAGTACAGTACTGCGATGGCGCCTAGTCATTATTAACTCCTTGCAAGACCAAGGGAGTAGCTCACATTGTGTTGATAAAAAGTGGTTTAACGTGAGACACCGCAATTTAAGATCCGGCCTCGAATGGACTCTGAACTTCTGCGGGGGTTGTCCGCGCTACATTACATTGCATGGGAACCCAGGTGATCGCCGCCGATCCAGCCGGGCCCGGGTTTATACGGGCACTATCTTCGCCTCGAAGCGGCATCACTCCCTCGTGAAGTCGGCTGCTATAGAATTTGGGAACTACAGTGCTGACCGGGATCAGTTTCCGGTTTTTGTGCCTAGGTTAAAAGGAAGTTGCTCGGCTCTTTGCCGGGCTAAAGATTTCAGTGTGGCCGCCTTCACGCAACGAGGCAACTGTACGCCGACTCTGTTCGTATATGCGAAACTTTCTGCATATGCTGCCTTGTTGTACCAATCCAAGGAGAATAATCCACCCACACCCGGCATCCAACCCTTGTCCTTAGCGAAGTTTTCCATGCCGTCCAACTAACCATTCATCGGCTTGTTGTCCTCTGGATGGTCGTCAGCGTCCCTATCCTCTTCCCAGCACTGCATCCAATAATCCAGCCTCCTTGAAGGTCCAGGTCGGGTTGGATCAGCTCTATGGAAGGCATAGAGCTTGTGTGGGCAATTCTTGAAGTTGGCTGCGTCATACCACGTCGGATCATCGTCGTAGCCGAGCCATTTCACTTGGTATTTGAGCTTTCTCCTGAAGATACGGGCTTTCAGAACTTCCTCAACTTCATATTCGTCTTCTTCATCCCCTTGGGTGGGAAGAGCTAGGTCGGACTGGGAGCGCGCCGCTAGAGCGCACTCATGTTGAAGTCCAGGCGACGACGACTCGTCGCGATAGTTTGTGCTCTGGATCTCATCATTTTGCTCATTTACATTGGCTTCTCTGGCTCCTGAAAGGAGGATGTTGTCTGTCTATCCGTCAGAATTTGTGGTTGACTGCTCCACAGATGGTCAATCTCACCAATGTGCTCCAATTCCTCATCATCAGTTCCCTCACCAAGTGCATCTTTGTCATCGAGACCATTCTCTGATGCGTCACACCACGACGACTGTGGCGTGTCATCGTCGCTTCCGTTTTGATCTGACACGGTTTCCGGGATTGGCGAGGAGCTTGAGCTGGCAGAAGCCGGGTCTTTGAGTAGAATAGGACGGGATGTTGACCTCTTTCTTTGGTTCCAAATCGTATTACTTTCGTCGACAAATTCATATTTCAGATCTCCCGTCTTTTTTCTTGACGACCGTCTCCTGCTAATGCATGCCCGCTTGGTTGGTCCAGCCCTCACCTCGCCCGCTGACCTAGATCTTTTGAGGGTGCTCCTAAAATCGACACAGTGGACATCTTCAAGATGAAATTGGAGCTCCTGCAATGATGTATACAATGGCGCATACGACTCTCCACAATGGAGCTTGCCTAAAGGGCATACCATCGACTTGGAATCTTTGTAATGCTGATTGTGGATATGGTCTTTCCATTCAGCCGTCTCGAGGAACTGCCGCATCCGCATTTCAGGGCCTAGGGACTCATTACCCAAACAATAGGGACAGAACCCCGGAGCAGCAAGTGTTGCTCCGTAGATCAGTGGGTTGCATTGCGTGTGGATCGTTTCAGGCTTGTCCAAATGGGCTTGGCAATGAGCGTTCCATTCCTCTTGATCAATGAACCAACCGCTGCAGAGGAAGCAAAACTCTACGAACTTGTGACTTTTCTTAAGCCACTTCCGATGACAACCGTGTATGTGTTTCCAGCGCACCGCAGCCGGTTGACTATTAAAATTCTCATTAGTCACTAATTATGAACGGCAAGTGGGGTTGCGTACCTGTCAATTTTTCGC